CAGATACTCTCTCTCTCTCTCTCTCACCATTCAAGATCCTGAAGCTTGAACTTCGCAACAACTTCACGGATGGAGGATGGGCCGTTTTCAAAATGTAGCTCTCGCCTGAAAGCCGCGCACAATCGTGTTCAAAGGTTGCAGCAATTTCACTGGTGGACGGCGGTTCCATTTCAAAACGTGGCTTTCGCCTGACCGCCGCGCAAATTCAGTTTGCAACAGTTTCCGGGGTTCGTATGCCTCAAGCCGCAGAAATGGTGTTCTGTCGCGATTTCAGGCTATCAGTACGCAACAGCCAAATTCATTCGCGAAGTTGAAGTCCCAAGGCAGGTATTCTGTCAAACCTCAACAGGATTGTCAGCACGCAAGAGTCACCTTGACCCGCGAAATCTACGTCCCAGGAGCGGTGTTTTGACACGATTGAGGGTTCTCAGACGGTTGATTTTCAATGGGCCGCTCCCCGTAATGAAACTACATTCTGGAAGGGACCTGTGATGAGGGAACCTGGGGGGGGGGGGTCTATTGCAACATCGTTGATGACTCTTGGGTTTGCTCTGGTACTCCTCCTGCTCCTCCTCCTCCTCCGCCTTCCCCTCCTCCCCTCCTCCTCCTCCTCCTCCTCCTTTCTCCTGCTGCTGCTGCTGCTCCTCCTCCTCCTCCTCCATCCCTTCTACTTATAAATAACTCCTCCCTGTCGCACCCGGGGCCAATTTTTAGAGCGGGCCGGGCGTTTCGCCTGAGACTTCCTCACCATGTCTGATTTTGAAGCTTAAAGAATGACAACAGCTTCACAGATGGCGGGCGGGTCCCTTTCAAAATGTGGCTCTCGCCTTAGCGCCGCGCACATTCAGTTTAACAATTTGCAACAGCTTCACATATTGAGGGCGGGTGGTTTTCAAATGTGTCAATCGCATCAGAGCCGCGCGCATTCATTTTTTGGTAAAGAAAAATGTAAGAGCTTCACGGATTGAGGGCGGGACGATTTCTCAATGTGGCTCTCGCCCCAGCGCGGTGTGCATTCATTTTCAGATTTGCAAAAAAAATCATGGATTGAAGTCGGGTCTTTTTCAAAATGTGGTTCTCGCCTTAGAGCGGTGTATCTTTGCTGGATACATGTCTAAGGGTTTCACGGATTGAGGGCGGGTCGTTTTCAAAATGTGGTTCTCGCATCAGCGCCGCGCACATTCGTTAAAACATGCAAGAGCTTCGCGGATTGAGGGCGGTTCCTTTCCAAACTGTGGCTCTCGCCTCAGCGCCGCGCACATTCGTTTAAACAACTTGCAAGACCTTCACGGGTTGAGGGCGGTTCCTTTCCAAAATGTTGCTATCACTTCAGCGCCGCGCGCATTCGTCTTGAACATTTGCAAGAATTTCACGGGTTGAGGGCCGTTCCTTTTCAAAATGTGGCTCTCGCCTTAGCGCCGCGCACATTCGTCTAAACATGTGCAAGAGTTTCACGGAATCTCATCAACGTACCAGAAATGATGTTTTGTAAGGATTCAAGATTATGCGGGTGCAACAATTGTGTTGGTTAGCGGTGTCGGAGTTCCACAACTGGCGCTCCGGCACGATTCCGGATCGTCAAGACGCAGCAGTCAGGTTGATAGGTGGCGTTGAAATCCAGAGAACAATGTTTTGGCACGCTTTAGGATCTTCAAACGGTTGTCTTCCAACGATGAAGTTCCCTCAATGGAGATGAGCCGTTGTGGGGGCCTAGGAAGAGGGAGCTCGGAAGGAGGGCTAATTCCAACATCGTTGATGACTCTTGCTTTTACACGGGTCCTCCTCCTCCTCCTCCTCCTCCGCCCCCTCCTCCACCCTGGCATGAAGGAAAAGGGGCCCGACGGAAGCGGGCCCAGGGCCTCCCCCCCACAACCAGCCTCTCATCCTGGACCGCCCCCTGCCCCCTGGCGGCCCTCGGGGCCCAGGGGAGGTCTGGGGAGCCCGAAGAGGCTGGCGAAATGTCCCTCCGCGAGACCGCGCTCCTCCATCCTCGGGGCGCGGCTCGGGCGGCTGGTGATGCGCGGTGACCCAGCTGGGGAGTGGAGAAAAATGCACTGGATGGGGCCCTTTTAGGGCCCCTGCTGTCTGCAAGAGGGCCCCCCAAGGGGCCCTCTTCTTCGCCTCCCATCTGGCCACTCCCCGTTACCACCCGCCCGAACGGCTTCTCCCGCGTCGGGACCCTTCCGCGGCGGCCCCCTCTCGCCTTCGAGAGGCCGCCCCTCCGGTCGCCCGCCCACCACGTTGGGAGCGTTTGCGCGGGGGGAGCCGCCACGGCAGGGGCCGCCCTGCCAGCGGCTCGGCCAGGCCGCCCCCGTGGCCCCTCCTTCCCCGCCCTCTGCTTTTGTGGAGGCCTCCTAGATGGGGTCGGAGTAGATAGGGTCGGAGGATCGCGCCGCATCGCCGATACATCGGCGATGCATCGGCGATGCTCTGGCGATGCTCGTCGACGTCGGCGATGGTGCATCGGCGACGTCGACGTGAAGCAAGTCGGGCTCCACATCGAGCCGCATCGGCGGTGCATCGGCCATGCGGCGCGATCCTCCGACCCTATCTACTCCGACCCCATCTATGAGGCATAGATTTTGGCGGCGCGCGAGGAGGGGGTATGGGGGGAGGGCTTCTGAGAGGGAGGCTGCTTCTGAGAAGCCTTCCCCCTCCCCCACCCCCTTTGCGCGTGGCCGATTATTGCGTGGCCCAGGTGCACCAATGTGCCAGGGGGCCGCATGGGGCGGGGGGGGGGAATCCGAGGGCGCAGGCCAATTTTGGGGGACCCCCGTCCAAGGGTTGCCGTAGGAACCGATGGCCCAGAGGAGGAGGAGGAATAGGAGGAGGAGAAGGATGATGATGATGAGGAGGAGGTGGAGGAGGAGGAGGGGGAGGAGGAGGAGGATGCCGATGGGAGGAGTAGGAAAAGGAGGATGGAAGATGGAGGAGGAGGAGGGCGGAGGGCGGAGGGAAGAGGGAAAAGGGAAGAGGGAGGAGGGAGGAGGGAGGAGGCAGGAGGGAGGAGGGAGGGGGAGGATCAAGCTAGGTGCGCTCGCGTCATATCTGACATCCTACCCCCCCTCCCATCCTTACCATGGCGCGATCCCCTCTCTACTCGCACAGTCGGATGTCGAGCAGGGCAATGATCCCGAAAGGGTACGCGATGCATTGTAGAGCACGGCGTGCATGGCGTAGAAGAGCACCGCGAAGCGTAGTATCAACCTAGCATTGCATTGCATGCCGTGGCATGGCACGGGAAATGACGCCAGCGCTGCAGCGGGAACGCGAGTCGAAACGAGCGGAAACGCGGAAATGAGGCCAGCGCTGCAGCGGGAACACGACTCGGAACGAGCGGAAGCACGCCGGAATCCGCCCGGGAGGTTTCCCGGGCGCCAGAAGCAGAAATCTAGCATTTTCAAAAGAAAAATATGTATTGGAATGGCCTTTTTTCGGCGCCGCCTCGGAACTCGATTTTCCGGCGCCGGCAGGAACCGGGGCGCCGGCCCGGGCGCAGGCTCGAGCGTCCGGCCCAGGCGCAGGCTCGGGCGCCGGCCTGGGCGTCGGAATCGGCCCGGGAGGCCTCCCGGGCGCCGGAAGCAGAAATTCAGCATTTTCAAAAGAAACATGTGTATTGGAATGGCCTTTTTTCGGCGCCGCCTCGGAACTCGATTTTCCGGTGCCGGCCGGAACCGGCTCCGGACCCGGCCCGAGCGCCGGCCCGGGCGCCGGCTCGGGCGTGCAGTCCGAGCGCCGGCGGAAATGATGCCAGCGCTGCAGCGGGAGCACGATCCGGAACGAGCGGGGCCCGAAAATTAGGCCGGCGCCCCAGCGAGAGCAGCATTTTGGGAAAAAGTGCAGGCGAGAACCCAACTCTGGGGAAACCTGTGTGTAAAAAATAATACGCGGGGGGGGACTAAATACTTTCAAACCGTCAACAGGGGAAGAGGGAGAGTAGTATTCAGATTGAGTAATTGTGGAGGATGGAGGATGGAGGAGGGAGGAGGAAGGAGCGAGGAGGGAGGAGCGAGGAGGAAGGAGCGAGGAGGGAGGAAGGGATGAGGGAGGGAGGAGGGAGGGGAGGAGGAGGAGGCGGGAGGGAGGTGGAGGATGGAGGGAGGGAGGGAGGGAGGGAAGGGGAGGAGGCGGAGGAGGAGGAGGAGGAGGAGTAGGAGCAGGAGGAGGAGGAGGAGAGGATGCGGAAGGAGGAGGAGGAGGAGGCGGAGGATGAGGAGGAGGAAGGAAGGAGGAGGAAGGAGGAGGAGGGGAGGAGGATGAGGAGGAGGAGGAGGATGAGGAGGAGGACGAGGAGGGGCGGTTCTGACAATTGTGCTGGCATCTGGTGCGCAATGGGCCTTGTGAGGGGTGCCCTGGGCCTCGTCTGGGGCCTCCCGGGGAATCCTGGGACACCATGGGCCAAGGACCCTCTGACAGCCCCCGACCTGTAGGCCCGCATCAGCAGGCCACTCCGGCGAAGAAGAGAGAGGAGGAGGAGGAGGAGGAAGGAGGGGAGGAGGAGGAAGGAGGAGGGAAGGAGGAGGAGAGGAGGCGAAGGAGGAGACGAAAAAGGAGGAAAGAAGGAGGAGGAGAAGAGAGGAGGAGGAGGAGGAGGAGGAGGATGAGGATGAGGAGGAGGAGGAGGAGGAGGAGGAGGAGGAGGAGGAGGAGGAGGAGGAGGAGGAGGAACAGGCTGTCGGGCGGCCATCGGGTGGCCGTCGTTGCGCGAAGCTGGCCGTCGGGTGAGGTGGGCCTCGCCGTCGGGCTATCGGGCCATAAGCTGCTCGGGTCTCTGGCTGCCGTTCGGGACGATTCGGGTACCCCCAGAACGCTCTCGGCGAGGCGCAGCTGCTGGGAAGCTTCCCGACGCTGAGCCGCCTGCAAGGACCGACGAGACCACCCGAGAACCTCGAGCGCCTCGGGTCGCCATGACATCGAGATCGACTTGGGTTGAGCAGCGTGGACTCGGCGTCGAATCGGACCGATCGAGTCGGACTAGGCCCTGGAAGCGTGCGCGGAGCTCAGCCCTTGCGCGCGGCATCCGCGGCCTGCATCTCCGCGTGCAGCGCGTCGAAGAGCCGCCGCCCGCGCTTCACGCTGCCACCGCAGAGCTGCGGGGGCAGGCGAGGGTGTGGCGGGGAGGGAGGGAGGGCGAGGGAGAGAGGGGGGAGGGAGGGGGGAGGAAGAGGATGAGGATACTGGTGCTTGGCTATCAGCGGTGCAAAGCAGCATGCCTGACGTGAGGCAGTGCACGCTGTTAGCCAACTTCTGCTCTCCTTTCGCTGAGGGGTTCCCGAACCGAGGACGTCGAATGCCTTCAGCCGGTCTCTGATCCCAGCGCTGGAAGAAGAGGATGAGGAGGGGGAGGAGAACGAGACGAGTGTAGCAGTTGGGCGGGGGAGATGAAGATGATGAGGAGGAGGAGGGGGAGGAGGAGGAGGAGGAGGAGGAGGAGGAGGAGGAGGAGGAGGAGGAGGAGGAGGAGGAGGAGGGGAGGAGGAGGAGGAGGAGTGGGAGGAGGAGGAGGTGGGAGGAGGAGGGAGGAGGAGGAGGAGGAGGAGGAGGAGGAGGAGGAGGAGGAGGAGGAGGAGGAGGAGGAGCAGGAGCAGGAGGAGGAGGAATTGGAGTTGGAGAAGGAGGATGAAATGGGGGAGGAGGAGGAGTTGGAGGAGGATGAGTTTTGACGAATGAAAAGCAGGAAGGAAGGGCAGGAGCAAACGGAGCGAGAAGGGGCGGGCGCATGGCGCGAGGAAAAAAGGGCTGCCTTCTGGAGCTCGCAGCGCTTCCAAGTGTAGAGAGAACGCGTTTCGTGGACGCTTGCTTGGGAGTCATCTCTGGACACGTCGGAACCCGCCCCCCTCCGACTTACCCGAGACCTATACCCAACCCTTCTCCACGCGAGGCGAAGATTTGCATGACCTTTCATCCCAAAAAGAACACATCGCCAGAGATGCACGACCTGCGCTGCCCTCATCTCCGACGTGCATCCCCCGAGCCTGCGAAAGTGGCGACAGCTGAGCAGTTCGCACCCACCCAAGGTGCAGCGAGGTCCTGGCTGGGTGCGCGTACTCCCCTACTCCGCCGTGCCTCCCACGAGCCCACGGAAGTGGTGACATCTGCGCAGTTCGCAACAACCAAGAGAGCAGCGAGGTCTCGGTCGGCTAGGTGCGCGTACTCCCCGACTCCGCCGTGCCTCCAAGGAGCCCATGGAAATGGCGACAATTGCGCAGTTCGAAATCCCCCAAGGAGCAACGAAATCCCGCCTGGGTGCGCGTACTCCCCGACTCCGCAGTGCCCCCCAAGAAGCCCCGAAAATGGCGCCAATTGCGCAATTCTCAACCACCCTGGGGAGAAGCGAGGTCCCGTCTGGGTGCGCGTGCTCCACTACTCCGCGGTGCCTCCCAGGAGCCAAAGAAAGTGGCGACAATTGCGCAGCCACCCAGGGAGCTGCGAGATTCCGTCTGGGTGCGCGTAGTCCTCGACTCCGCTGGACCTCCCACGAGCTCACGAAAGTGGAGACAGTTCTGCAGTTCGCAGCATACCAGGTAGCAGCGAGGTCTTGGCTGGGTGCGCGCACTTCCCGACTCCGCCGTGCTTCCCAAGAACCCACGAATATGGCGACAACTGCGAAGTTCGCCCCCCCCCCCCCCCCCCCCCAAGGAGCAGAGAGGTCCCGTCAGTGTGCGCGTACTCCCCGACTCCGCCGTGCCTCCCAGGAGCCCACCACAGTCCCCCAAGGAGCTTCAAGGTCCCGCCTGGGTCCGCACACTCTCCTACGCAGCCGTGCCTCCCAGGAGCCTGCGGAGGTGGCGACAGCTGCGCACTTACCTGCCACCAAGGGAGCCGCGAGGTCTCGGCTGGGTGCGCGTACTCCCCTACTCCGCCGTGCCTCCCACGAGCCCACAAAAGTGGCGACAGATGCGCAGTTCGCAACAACCAAGGAAGCAACGATGCCTCGTCTGGGTGCGCGTGCTCCGCTTTTCAGCCGTGCCTTTCACGAGCCCACGGACGTGGTGACAGCTGCGCAACTCGCAACAGCGAAGGGAGCAACGAGGCCTCGGTCGGCGAGGTGCGCGTACTCCCCGACTCCGCCGTGCCTCCCACGAGCCCACGAACATGGCGGCAACGGCGCAGTTCGCAACCACCCATGGAACTGCAGGGTCCCGTCTGGGTGCGCGTACTCCTCGACTCCGCAGTGCCCCCCAAGAGGCCCCGAAAATTGCACCATGTTCGCAATTCGCAACCACCCGAGGGAGCTGCGAAATCCCGTCTGGGTGCGCGTGCTCCACTACTCCGCCGTGCCTCCCAGGAGCCAACGAACATGGCGACAGCTGCGCAGTTCGCAGCCACCCAGGGAGCAGCGCAGGAGGGAGCAGGAGGAGGGGGGAAGAAAGACGAGGTATGCGGCCGCAGTCCTTTATTCAAAGCGAGAAACCAACACACAGGAGGGTTGGGAATAAAGCAGGATGCATAAAGGGGGAGGAGGAGGAGGAGGGGGATGAGGATTGGAAGGCGAGGTCGGGGTCGGAGAGGGGGAGGAGAAGGAGAAGGATGAGGATGATAATGATGGGGATAAACATGAGGATGAGGATGAGGTGATGATGAGGATGCTGCTGCTGCATATGATGGTGATGATGATGCTGCTGATGATGAGGTTGAGGATCATGATGATGCCGTTGTTGATGATGATGACGAGGACGATGCTGCTGCTGCTGCTGCTGCTGATGATGATGATGATGATGATGATGATGATGATGGTGGTGATGGTGATGGTGATGGTGATGGTGGTGATGATGATGCTGATGCGGATGCTGCTGATGATGATGATGATGACGACGAGGAGGAGGAGGAGGAGGAGACGCGCAAGCAGTGCTCCATTCAAAACGAGAACCCAAGAGAGTTTTTGGTTGTGGAAAGCGCGGACCCAAGACAGGAGGGTTGGGAAAACTTTTGAAGGGGCTGGAGAACTGCCCCCGCCTCCCTCCCGCGGACACCAGCCTCTCTAACCGGGCCCCCCTTCCTTCCAAGGGGGGGGATCGAAGCTGGACTCCCCCCCCTCCCATGTCCAAGGGGGGGCGAGCGACCCCCCCCATTAAAATAACCTTAACGGATGTAACACTAATCTCATTCTAATCGAGCTCGGTCCAACTCTGACAGAACCCTACTGTAGCTGGATCCAGGTCAATGTCAATCCTCGCGGGGCTCAATCCATCTCAAGTAGAATTCTACAATAGGTAGGTCCGGCTCTCATTGAATCCTACTATGGCTGAATTCCAGCTCCAGCAGCATCGTAGTTGGGCTCGATCCAGCCTCGATAGCATCCTACTAATGCTCGATCGTCGTCGTCGCCGTCGTCGTCGTCGTCGTCGTCGTCGTCGTCGGCGTCGTCGTCGTCGTCGTTGCCCGACGGCGCCAGCGCCAGCGTCGGCGCCCGCCGTCGTCGTCGGTTGCCACTGGGGAGGGAGGGCGCCTACCCCCCCGGTTCGAACCCGCCACCCTCTCCCTGCAATTCGCGGCCCCCCCAACCCCCCGGTTCGAACCCGTCCCCCTGCCCCTGCAATTCAGGGGCCCCCCTCCCGACCAGTTCGACCCCCCCCCCCCCCGAACCTTTGAGGGCCTCCCCCCCTCCCCCCCCCCCCCGAGCCTCCCCCTTCCCTCCTGCTCTGCCTCCTCCTCCCTCCTCCCCCTCCTCCCTCCCCCTCCTCCTCCTTCCTTCCTCCTCCTCCTCCTCCTCTCCTCCTCCTCCTCCTCCTCCTCCTCCGTGTCTCCTTCCACCTCCTCCGCGCCTCTCCCATGTCCCCTGCCCCCCCGCGCTCTTCCCCACCCCCCATACTCCTACCCATCCTTCCTGACTGGTCGGCTCCTGTCCCCCTTCCCCGTTCCGGCTGCTCACTGCCCACACGTGCCCTCATCACCCCCCCTTTAAGTAACTGGGCCTGCGCGCACCGGTTCTCCGTCATCCGCGTGAGCATCTGGCCAGTGGTGTTGGACGGCAGGACGTCGACCAGGTCCTCGGTCGGGCGGGGACGAGGGGAGGAGGAGGGGAGGAGGAGGGGGGGAGGAGGATGAGGAGGAGGAGGAGGCGGAGGATGGAGGAAGAGGATGGTTTCAACGGTACTGACTGATCTCGCCATGCCTGGAGGCAGGGGTGGGAGAGCTTGGCCTCGCCACGCGCAGGAGTGCCCCTGGCAGAGTGGCCCTGTCTCGCGGCCAGAAAGGGGGCCCTCTGGGACGCCACCCAGGCCGTCTTTTTCTCCTCCTCCCTCCTCCCCCTCCATCTCCTCCGCCTCCTCCTCCTCCTTCCTCCTCCTCCTCCTCCTATCTCCTTCTCCTTCTCCTCTCCTTCTCCTTCTCTTTCTCCTCCTCGTCCTCCTCCTCCTCCTCCTCATCCCCTCCTCCTCCTACTCCTCCTCCTCCTCCTCTCCTCCTCCTCATCCTCCTCCTCCTCCTCCTCCTCCTCCTCCTCCTCCCCCTCCTCCTGCTCCTCCTCCTGCAAGCCGCTGCCATCGCATCGCATTCAGCCAACGATCGGGGGGGTCCCATTGTTGAGCAGGGACCGGCCGTCCCAGCATCCCTATAGGCCTACCACGACATGTTCTTAGAACCCAATTACCCTGGCGACGTACCCAACCCCTGCGCAGAGCAGGGCAGGAGTAGCCTGGGAGATTTGATTGGAGGACGACGACGTGACATGGACGCATCTACTTCTGCGAGCGACTTTTGGGAGGTTCGCAGGTCCCCGATCATGGGAAAAAAACGTGGTAGAGATGAGTAACTAAGTGAACTCCTGAGTCACTAAGGCAAGGTCCAAACGGAGAAGGCGGGCAACGGGCTTGAAACGTCGGCGGGGCAGCAACGACATGACATAGCTCCCTCGAACCAACATTCCCACGCGGCGACGCATTTTCTGAACCGGCGGCAGGCAGCCGCTAGGCTGGCCCTCAACTTGCCCTGAAAAGCCCTCGAACCTGGCGACAACGTTGCAGATCGCAGCCCCCCAGGGACGGCGAGGTCCCGCGCAGGTCTGCGCTGTGCCTCATTATGCTGTCCCTAATAGCAGCCCCCGAAAGTGGCGAGAACGTCGCAGATCGCAGCCCCCCAGGGACGGCGAGGTCCCGCTCAGGCCTGCGCGTGCCTCACTCCGCTGGACCCACCAGCAGCCCTCGAAAGTGGCGACAGCGTCGCAGATCGCAGCCCCCCAGGGACGGCGAGGTCCCGCTCAGGTCTGCGCGGTGCCTCACTCCACTGGACCCACCAGCAGCCCTCGAAAATGTCGACAGCGTCGCAGATCGCAGCCCCCTAGGAACGGCGAGGTCCCTCTCAGGTCTGCGCGGTGCTTCACTCCGCTGGACACACGAGCAGCCCTCGAACGTGGCGACAACGTCGCAGATCGCAGCCCCCCAGGGACGGCGAGGTCACGCTCAGGTCTGCGCGGTGCCTCACTCCACTGGACCCTACCAGCAGCCCTCGAAAGTGGCGACAGCGCCGCAGATCGCAGCCCCCCCAAGGACGGCGAGGTCCCGCTCAGGTCTGCGCGGTGCCTCACTATGCTGTTCCCCCCAGCAGCCCTCGAAAGTGGCGACAGCGCCGCAGATCGCAGCCACCCAAGGGACGGCGAGGTCCCGCTCAGGTCTGCGCGGTGCCTCACTCCACTGGACCCACCAGCAGCCCTCGAAAGTGGCGACAGCGTCGCAGATCGCAGCCCCCCAGGGACGGCGAGGTCCCGCTCAGGCCTACGCGGCGACTCACCCCACTGGACCCACCAGCAGCCCTCGAATGTGGCGATAGCGTCGCAGATCGCAGCCCCCCAGGGACGGCGAGGTCCCTCTCAGGTCTGCGCGGTGCCTCACTCCACTGGACCCACCAGCAGCCCTCGAAAGTGGCGACAGCGTCGCAGATCGCAGCCCCCCCAAGGACGGCGAGGTCCCGCTCAGGTCTGCGCGCGGTGCCTCACTCCACTGGACCCGCCAGCAGCCCTCGAAAGTGGCGACAACGTCGCAGATCGCAGCCCCCCAGGGACGACGAGGTCCCGCTCAAGTCTGCACGGTGCCTCACCGCTGGACCCACCGGCAGCCCTCGAAAGTGGCGACAGCGTCGCAGATCGCAGCCCCCCAAGGGACGGCGAGGTCCCGCTCAGGTCTGCGCGGTGCCTCACTCCGCTGGACCCACCAGCAGCCCGTGAAAACGTCGCAGATCGCAGCCCCCCAGGGACGGCGAGGTCCCGCTCAGGTCTGCGCGGTGCTGCAAAAAGAAAAAACCCCTTTTCTGTTGTCCTGCCAGCAGCCCTCGAAAATGGGCGACAGCGCCGCAGATCGCAGCCCCCCAGGGACGGCGAGGTCCCGCTCAGGCCTGCGCGGTGCCTCACTGTGCTGTCCCCCCCAGCAGTCCTCGAAAATGGCGACAGCGTCGCAGATCGCAGCCACCCAGGGACGGCGAGGTCCCTCTCAGGTCTGCGCGGTGCCTCACTCCGCTGGACCCACAAGCAGCCCTCGGCTGGACCCACCAGCAGCCCTCGAAAGCGGCGACAACGTCGCAGATCGCAGCCCCCCAAGGGACGGCGAGGTCCCGCTCAGGTCTGCGCGGTGCCTCACTATGCTGTTCCTACCAGCAGCCCTCGAAAGTGGCGACAGCGTCGCAGATCGCTGCCCCCTAGGGACGGCGAGGTCCCGCTCAGGTCTGCGCTGTGCCTCACCATGCTGCCCCCCCAGCAGCCCTCGAAGTGGCGACATTGTCGCAGATCGCAGCCACCCCCCGGGGACGGCGAGGTCCCTCTCAGGTCTGCGCGGTGCCTCACTTCGCTGGACCCACCAGCAGCCCTCGAAAATGGCGACCCTGTCGCAGATCGCAGACCCCCAAGCACGGCGAGGTCCCGCTCAGGTCTGCGCGGGTCCGCTAGAGCCACCAGCAGCCCTCGAAAGTGGCGACAGCGTCGCGATCGCAGCCCCCCAGGTACGGCGAGGTCCCGCTCAGGTCTGCGCGGTGCCTCACTCCGCTAGACCCGACGGCAGCCCTCGAAAGTGGCGATAGCGTGGCAAATCGCAGCCCCCCCCCGGGGACGGCGAGGTCCCTCTCAGGTCTGCGCGGTGCCTCACTCCACTGGACCCACCAGCAGCCCTCGAAAGTGGTGGCATTGTCTCAAATCGCAGCCCCCCAAGGACGCCGAGGTCCCGCTCAGGTCTGCGCGGTGCCTCACTCCACTGGACCCGCCAGCAGCCCTCGAAAGCGGCGACAGCGTCGCAGATCGCAGCCCCCCAGGGACGGCGAGGTCTCGCTCAGGTCTGCGCGGTGCCTCACTCCGCTGGACCCACCAGCAGACGTCGAAAGTGGCGACAGCGCCGCAGATCGCAGCCACCCAAGGGACGGCGAAGTTCCGCTCAAGTCTGCGCGGTGCCTCACACCGCTGGACCTACCAACAGTCCTCGAAAATGGCGACAGCGCCGCAGATCGCAGCCCCCCAGGGACGGCGAGGTCCCGCTCAGGTCTGCGCGGTGCCTCACTCCACTGGACCCGCCAGCAGCCATTGAAAAAGGCGACAACGTCGCAGATCGCACCCCCCAGGGACGGCGAGGTCCCGCTCAGGTCTGCGCGGTGCCTCACTCCGCTGGACCCCCCAGCAGCCCTCGAAAGTGGCGATAGCGTCGCAGATCGCAGCGCCCAGGGACAGCGATGCTGCGCTCAGGTCTGCGCGGTGCCTCACTCCACTGAACCCTCGAAAGCGGCGACAGCGTAGCAGATCGCAGCCCCCCAGGGACGGAGAGGTCCCGCTCAGGTCTGCGCGGTGCCACACTCTGCTGGACCCACCAGCAGACGTCGAAAGTGGCGACAGCGCCGCAGATCGCAGCCACCCAAGGGACGGCGAAGTTCCGCTCAAGTCTGCGCGGTGCCTCACACCGCTGGACCTACCAGCAATCCTCGAAAATGGCGACAGCGTCGCAGATCGCAGCCCCCCAGGGACGGCGAGGTCCCGCTCAAGTCGGCGCGGTGCCCCAATCCGCTGGACCCACCAGCAGCTCTCGAAAAAGGCGACAGCGTCGCAGATCGCAGCCCCCGAAAGTGGCGAGGTTCCTCTCAGGTCTGCGCGGTGCCTCACTCCGCTGGACCCACCGGCAGCCCTCGAAAGTGGCGACAGCGTCGCAGATCGCAGCCCCCCAGGGACGGCGAGGTCCCTCTCAGGTCTGCGCGGTGGCTCACTATGTTGTCCCTGCCAGCAGCCCTCGAAAGTGGCGACAGCGCCGCAGATCGCAGCCCCCCAGGGACGGCGAGGCCCCGCTCAGGTTTGCGCGGTGCCTCACTCCACTGGACCCACCAGCAGCTCTCGAAAGTGGCGACGTTGTCGTAGATTGCAGCCACCCAGGGACGGCGAGGTCCTGATCAGATCTGCGCGGTCCCTCACTCCGCTGGAGCCACCAGCAGCCCTCGAAAGTGGCGACAACGTCGCAGATCGCACCCCCCAGGGACGGCGAGGTCCCGCTCAGGTCTGCGCGGTGCCTCACTCCGCTGGACCCCCCAGCAGCCCTCGAACGTGGCGATAGCTTCGCAGATCGCTCTCCCCGGGCACGGCGAGGTCCCTCTCAGGTCTGCGCGGTGCCTCACTATGTTGTCCCTACCAGCAGCCCTCGAAAATGGCGACAGCGTCGCAGATCGCAGCCCCCAGGGACGGCGAGGTCCCGCTCAGGTCTGCGTGGTGCCTCACTCCGCTGGACCCACCAGCAGCCATTGAAAGTGGCGACAACGTCGCAGATCGCACCCCCCAGGGACGGCGAGGTCCCGCTCAGGTCTGCGCGGTGCCTCACTCCGCTGGACCCCCCAGCAGCCCTCGAACGTGGCGATAGCGTCGCAGATCGCAGCGCCCAGGGACAGCGATGTTGCGCTCAGGTCTGCGCGGTGCCTCACTCCGCTGGACCCACCAGCAGCCCTCGGAAGTGGCGATAGCGTCGCAAATCGCAGCCCCCCAGGGACGGCGAGGTCCCGCTCAAGTTTGCGCGGTGCCCCACTCCGCTGGAGCCACAAGCAGCTCTCGAAAATGGCGACATTTTCGCAGATCGCAGCCCCCCAGGGACTGCGAGGTCCCGGGGGGCAGGAGGCAAGGCAGCCGCGAGAGGCAGGAGGCGGGAGGTACCCAACCAAGGAGGGTTGGGACAACTTGTCGAACAACGAAGCAATGTTCTTAGAGCATACGGCCGATGTGTTAAAACAAATCGTCGCGGTCAGAAATGCTCTGATAACATATCGTGCAGACCACAAGAGGTTCTTAGAACATTCTTTGGTAGGCCTATCGGCGAGCTGGGATGCTTCGTCACTGCTCGAGTGTAGTCGACCTGCGCGGAGCGCGGGCGAGGGGCGCCGAGACGAGCCAGCGCCGCCGCGGCTCGCAGAGGGGAAGGCGGCGAGGAGGCGGAGCGCGGTCTGGGAAGAGTCTTCGGTCGGGCGCGCGGCGACGAGGGCCCCTGCAGCCCCAGCCGAGGCCGAGGAGGTGGAGGAGTACAGGCAGGACGCCCAGCCTCCGCAGGGGACGATCTTGCTCGGGAGGCAGGAAAGGGGTATGATGCAAAAGGGTGTGGTGTCAATTTCATGTGAAGGGGACTCTGGCGATGTTATTCATCGCAGATAGCAGCGCCATGTCCACGATTGGCACCATATCCCTTTATGCCGCACCCCTTTCCGACCTCCAGACTTGCATCGCTTGTCGAAGCGGCGCCGGGCGTGAGCCAGTATGCGTCAACAGCTGCCTCGCAGCAGAAAGATCAAACACTCCACGATGCCGCAAGAGGCACCCAGTCAGGCGCCAAGACGCTCCACTGGAGGCCCTCGGCAGCCTAGCCTGGGACGGACGCGCGATGCCACGATGCGATCGGCTCAGGATTCGGTCGGGCATGTACCCCTACAGGGTAACATTGGACGAAAAATAAAACATTGTCAACAAAGTACTCCCAAATGCTCCACAAACTAGTGAAACAATCGCCTCCAGATTACTTGTCTACTGTCACTTTTGAATTTTCCTCCTGTACAGGGACGTGCCCGACTTCAGCTCAGGATGCCTCCCGGGATTTCTGGATACTCCCAAATGCTCAACAAACTAGTGAAACGATCGTCCCCAGACTATTTGTTTACTGCTATGTTTGAATCTCCCTCCTGTGCAGGGACGTGCCCGACTTAAAAGCTCAGGATGCCTCCCAGGAACTCCGGAGCACCTGCCGGCCCCGGCTGCTGCAGTCCGTGCGGAGCACCAGAGGGACTCTTTGGGAGATACTGCAAATCTTGGGTGGCATCATCATCTGGGGGGCAGCGATAGGGGGGTATACAGGGCAGTTTTTAATACATCGGATTTTTTAAACTATATGGTTTTTCATACATGACTAATGTATACATTAATGTATGCACGAACTCATCGTTGTTTTTAATACTAAGTCCCTGCATGTTTAATACATGATCCGCACGCAGAGCATGTATTAAAAACGGCACTGTATAGGCTTAGGGGGGGATGCATCGACCTGGAATCGGCGACACATCGTCGATCGATTGGCGCTAGGCCCCCGATGGTGAACCCGCACCTTCCTGGGCGGGGTGGTGCTGTCGGGCCCCTATCGGCGATCAATGGGCGATTGGGGGCCGATGCATCCCCCGCTTATGCCTATCCCCCCCTTACCGTTGCACCCGATTCTCATGACCTCTTGCTCCTCAGATCGCCACCCCGAGGCTCAGAAGCGGGCCTCGGGCCCGTGCGCGCTCGAGCGCATGGTGCCAGCTCCACGAGCTGCGGTCCGTGGGAGGTCCAAGCAGGATTTCGAATTCAAGTCGTCGTCGGCGTCGTCGTCGTCGTCCTCGTCGCCGTCGTCGTCCTCGTCGTCGTCGTCGTCGTCGTCGTCCTCGTCGTCGTCGTCGTCGTCGTCCTCGTCGTCGTCGTCGTCGTCGTCGTCGTCGTCGTCGTCGTCGTCCTCGTCCTCGTCGTCGTCGTCGTCGTCGTCGTCGTCGTCGTCGTCGTCGTCGTTGGGCCGCCACGGGCCGCCAGGCAGTCCGCGCCAAAGCCGCCCGTGCGCGGGCGCCCGTCGGACCCCCTCGGGGAGCGCCCCCGCCACTCACGAGGCCTGCTGACAAAACCAAGAAGCCCTCTACGGGGCCGCTTGTCCGCAACTCAGACACGGTGGCGGGATAGACCGA